CTCTCTCTCTCTCTCTCTCTCTCTCTCTCTCTCTCTCTCTCTCTCCCACCTCCTCATCTCGTCACCGCTCCCTCTCTCTCTCTCTCCAACCTCTAATCTCTAGTTCACTTGCCCATAATCCCTCATCATCGGCAGTTTTTGGAGCTCGAAGCCGACGAACACGAATTCCTCGTTCCCTTGCGTCTAATCCCTCGTTAGTGACGATTTTTGGTGCCTGAAGTCGACGAAGATGAACAGGTAAATGCCCTAATTTCTTTTCATAATTTTTTTTTCATAATTTCAGGTAAATGCCCTAGGGTTTTAGTCTGTGATCTATTTTATGTGTGGTTGAATTGGGTGAAAATGTAAATTCTTTTGTAGATTAAAGTTTAGATTTTATTGTATGTTCGAAATTTAGATTAGGGATGTACGGTACAGAGGAAGAATTTGTAAATTATAGAAATTATTAAGTTTTGAGATAAAGAAGGAAGTTATTGATTAAGTTTGTGAGTCACTATACTTGAAATTTCTATATATGGTTTGATCAGGGGAAGAATATGAACAAAACATATATTACATCAAATCTCTCCCTTGGTTTGCAAGTTAAATTGCTAGCCAATACAAAATTGAAATAAATAAAATTGGAAGGTAATTACAATAAAGAGATTAGGTTATGTAGTGATTAAACTGAAATAAATAAATAAAATTGAAAGGTAATACAAAACAGAAATGTGTGGATATTAGTTTATGTAATGATTAAGTTTCCCAAAGTAGTTGAATTTCTATGAAATTTGCATGATTTATTAAACACCTGTTCTTGCATGCAAGTGGGTGATAGTGTTTAAGAAAAATATATAAATTAAAATAAGGTTTATTTTTAATTATATGATTGTCAAAATTATGCACGGGAAAAAAACATAAAACACACGCGCTCACACACAAAGGAGACACCTAAACACCCAACATTAGTCCAATTTCAATCAACTGGACCTTGTTGTCTCGAATGAATATTATTAGTTATGTAACTTTTGCACATACGATTCAATAAGAAAATTCATGTGCAGACTAACTTATTGACCTCAATAGCACATGTTCCAGCACCTCAATAGCACATATTTCTAAATGACTTGTTTTATTTGCCTTTAATGTTAGTATCTACTTTAATATGACGCTTGTATTTTAGATGGATGGTGATCTCGACGAAGAGACAATAGTTAATATGTGTTCGGGTGCTGCACTATCTGTTTTAGTTATGGTTATGACATTCATGAGGAGAATGCAAAGTAGACTAGATCTATATGTGCAGGTCCTAGTGAGGAGAAAATAAAGTAATATCAAAATAGAAAACAACACATGGACCAGATATATAATGGATTTAGTGATAGTTGTGTCAACTATGTTAGAATGCGTAGTGGTGCTTTTATGAAGCTTGCAGAGATCATGAGAATGAATAATTTATTGCGAGACTCACGACATGTTGTAGTGGAGGAGCAACTTGCTATGACTTTGAATATTTTGGGGTATAAAACTAAAAATCGAAGTGTTAGGTCACATTTTATTAGATCTGGGGAGACTGTGAGTAGGTATTTAAACAAAGTGTTAGAAGCAATTTGTCACATACGTCCATGCTTTTTGAGACAAGTACGGAATAAAGTTCCACAGGAGATCCTTAGCAACCTTCTATACTATCCTTATTTCAAGGTATTCTCTCTTTAATCTATGATTAAAAGCATGTTTATTTAATTTACCACAAAATATTCAATAGTAATTTTTTTATTTTTTAGGATTGTATTGGTATGATAGATGGAACACATGTTGAAGCTATGCTACTTGCTAGTCTTCAACCATGATTCTGTGGTCGAAAATGTGTTACACAAAATGTTTTAGCAGCTTTTACTTCAAACAAGTTGTTCACTTACGTATTAGCAGAGTGAGAAGGATCTGCAAATGACTATAGAGTCCTTCAAGATGCATTGTTTGTGCCACAGCCTCATGGCTTGAAAGTATATGACGGTAATTTCATCAAATCTTCAATTTTAAGTAATTACTTCAATTAATAAATGATATTGAATAAAATTTTAACAAATTCTAATAAACGCTTTCGCATCATGCAAATTGTAGAGAAGTATCACTTGTGTGATGCGGGATACACGACCATGTCGGGTTTCATCTCCCAGTATCATGGTGTTCGTTACCATTTGAAGGAACACATAGGAAGAACACCTAAAAATAGAAGAAAATTATTCAATCTTAGACATTCTTCTTTAAGATCTAAGATTGAATCTACATTTGGTTGTTTGAAGAATCGTTTCAAAATTCTCACCGCAAAGACTCACTACCCTTTTCGTGCGCAAGTGGATATCGTATTAGCTTGCGCAGTTCTTCACAATTATATTGTAATGGTTGACTCGGATGATGACATATTCAATGAGGTCGTTGACATTGAAGATGATGACGGAGATGTTGCTAATGAAGATGAGAATAATATTGTTGATTTCTCTTAACCCCAAACTCAAAGGGAGCAAGCACACTCAAGAAGCGTGTGGAAAGATCGTAGAAATCAAATAGCTTGGGATATGTGGGTTGATTATTGTGAAAAATATAAGGGAGGGAATACTAGTAAAAATAGGCATGTGATGTGCATGATAGCGATGTTGTCTTATGTTATTAATTATTCTATTTCCATGTACTTCATTTTATGATGGCGTGTGTAAAACTATGTAATGTTAATCAAGAAACATTTGTATATTATTATTATGTGTTGTATGAAATTTTTTCTTAGGACACACTTTCTTTACACAACTAAAGTTTATTTTTTGCATTTCTCTATAACTATTTTCTAGGTATGGACGACAACTTCAATTGTGAGGAAAATGATAAGGTTAAAGGCAAGAGTACGACATCAAATTCATCTTCTAGAACCCCATGGAATTCATCAATCCCTTGTGGGTTCAACCCGGGATTTATGTCTTATCACTCTTCACAAGTTAGCCAAGGTCTTAACTTTTGGAATAATTTCCAAATGCAAGATGCTAACTATTGGGGAATTGGCCAACAACCACCAATTTCATTCATGAATATGCTAAATGCTTGTCCAACTTTACAACGTCAAAGATGTAGCATGGGTGAAACTCCGTCACCTAATCAACAAAGTCAAAGCAACATGATGAATTCTATTGATATTGATGGTGATGAAAGTTCATCTCCTAATCCAAAGAGGAAAAATAAAGCTCTTGCACGTAGAACTAAAGAGAAAGAGGCTTGCAAGGAAAGAGTTAACCAATTATGGGAGAGTAAACATGATGATTTGCTAATTCCTTTCCTTGCAAAGTGTGTTAAAGAGGGAATGAAGGCGGATAAGAAGTTCAAAAAACCGCTTATCTTGGCGCCGCCATTCATATAAATGAAAAATTAGGTTCAACGTTCACTTCCGAGAACATTGAAAACCATATGAAACCTATTCGCAATAGATTCTTAGACATGCAAAAATATCGTAACTTGAGCGGTGCCGGTTGGGATGATATGAAGAAGATGGTAATTATGGATGAAGCTTGCTTTGATAGATGGCTAGATGTATTTACAATTTTGTAATGTTCATTTATTATCAAATATTTCTAATTTTGTTCAATGTTGTCCATATATGGATTTGATATATTCCTTAACTATGTAGGACAAGAGTATGAATAGTTCTAAACTTAGGGAATACATCAACAAGCCCATGAAACATTATGAAGACCTTACAATTATTATTGGAGATGATGTTGCTAGAGGAGATGATGTGGTAGATGTGTTGGACAAATTTGGTGGTAGTGCACATTTTAGTATTGGTGATGATGATGATGATATTAGTATGCCAAAGAAGAATACACCTAGCTATATCTCTTTAGATGAAGATGATATTCCACCACCGAAGGTTTCAACTATACCCTCAAAATTCAATCCATCTTCTAGTGTGAACAAAGCTAAAAATAATGTGTCAAAGATGCGTAAAGGAAATGGGGGGAGGTCTAGTGAGGACACGATGCTTATGTGTGAGATAGTAAATAAGGTTAAACAATTCACCTCATCTATGCGCACGATAAGTATGCATTAGACCGAGAAATTGGCAAAAGTTATATTCGCACATGATGATGAATTTTACATAGAAATTCTTGATAAGTTTTATCAACAATTGCATGAGAATGAATCACAAGCTAGGTTGTTTATGGGGAGGCCAACTGTTGTACAAAAGAAGGTGTTGACTGAGTTCATGAAGAGTCAACCTCTTGATTAGAGTGGTGGAAGGTTGGATTGCCTAGCTTTTGGCATATTTTTGTGAAACTAGCTACTTATATCAATGATTGTGTAGTTATTTTTGTATGTAAATGAGCTAGATGATTGTTCATCCTTTTGCCTAACAACTACGGTAGATGTATTAAACTTACATTTGTGCAAAACTAATGCTACTATCTCTATGTTGATGATTCATGTTATACATTTTATACATTTTATTAGTATGCTAATGCAAACTTGTTTGACAGGTTTACAAGTGGGGGTAAGGTGAATGATTTCACGTTGATGAATTAAAGTTAAAGAGGTATGCATGTTTTGTATTATGATGATAAGCTATGACTTTTATAATATGCAACTAAAGTTTATAGCAGTAATATATTGGCGAGGCAATACATTACAGCCAACATTGCTATTATAAACTTCATGGCGAGACAGATAATGAAGAAAAGATCCTTTTCTGAGCACAATTTTTATAATTTAGTTTGAACTTTGGTTTGATTTCCATATTTGGGTTCTTCTGAGCACAACAAACTTGCTTGCTTTAGAACTAACATGACAGCAGATAGAACTAACATACCACTAGAACTAACATTTATATTAGAAATAACACTAGCTGGAATGTTAGAACTAACATGTCAACAGTTATAACTAGCACGAGAGCCAGTAGAACTAACAGGAGCTCAACTAGAGCTAACATACCATTAGAACTAACGCTTATATTAGAAATAATACTAGCTGGAATGTTAGAACTAACATGACAGCAACTAAAACTAGCACGAGAGCTACTAGAACTAACATGGGCTCAACTGGAACTAACATACCACTAGAACTAACGCTTATATTAGAAATAACACTAGCTGGAATGTCAGAACTAACATGACAGCAGTTAGAACAAGCACGAGAGCTACTAGAACTAACATGAGCTCAATTAGAACTAACATACCACTAGAACTAACGCTTATATTAGAAATAACACTACCTGGAATGTTAGAACTAACATGACAGCAACTAGAACTAGCACGAGAGCCACTAGAACTAATAAGAACTCAAATAGAACTAACATATCACTGGAACTAACACTTTTATTAGAAATAACACTAGCTGAAATATTAGAACTAACATGACAGCAGCTAGAACTAGCACGAGATCCACCAGAACTAATAGGGACTCAACTAGAACTAACATACTACTGGAACTAACACTTATATTAGAAATAACACTACCTGGAACGTTAGAACTAACATGATAGCAACTAAAACTAGCACGAGAGCCACTAGAACTAACAAGGGCTCAACTAGAACTAACATACCACTGGAACTAACATTTATATTAGAAATAACACTAGCTGGAATGTTAGAACTAATTGAGTCTTTTTCATTGGTTGTTATGATACTGATACTATGATATTATGCCATGATGATGGTCTTTTTTAATGTATACAGTCAAAATCTATACTAGTAATCAATTGGCGAGGCAATACATGTAGCCAACATTGCTATTATAAATTTCATACCGAAGCATACAATGAAGAAAATGGCTATAACTGAGCATATTTTTCTCTTGAGCATCAGGTTTCTTCAAATCTTGTTCATTGAGTATTTTGGAATTAGGCCCTCGAATCTTTGAATATTTTGCAAATCACTACCTCAAATCTTTTTTAAAAATTACAAACAAGCCCTTCAAAATTTTAAATATTTTTATGTGACGGTTGATATATGTTCACCTCTCAATTTATGTTGCCTAAATCAAGTTTTCTTAATTTTTTAGTTTGAACCAAACACTAGAAAATGAGAGAATCTATTCACATATCAATTATTTTCTTCTTTTTTCAATATGAACCAAACTAAAAAAAGTGGGGAAAGTACTTTCCACTTATTGTTTGGCGAAACAAACATAAGAAACACTTTCCATGAAAGTGAAGGAAACACCAAAAAGTGAAGGAAAATGGGCTTTGAAAAATGAAGAAAACGAACCAAACAGCCCCTAAATGGAACATCGGTTTTGGAGCGAATCGGGATTTTGAAAGGATTCGAGTTCCGATCGTCGTCACTGGAGGCTACGTTTGCGTGTATTGACTCACCGGTTTGGATTGGCCGACGTGTGAGGTTGGTAATTGGGCAAAAAAAATTGTCGTATAATTTGTTTTTGTTGTTAATGCTGGTGCATGATAGGTATTGGGTGCTGGAGAAGTTAGTTGAGGGAAATAGGTGGCGGGGAATCTACCTAGTATTTAGTGCGAATATTCGGAGAATATTTATGAGAAGAATGTAATATTTTGAACATTACGGTGTACTCTCGAATTCGGTGGATCACAATGAGTTTATAACTTCGATGGGACGGTTCACGATTTGATCGCTAAGAAAAGGAGTGTATTTATTATTAGGGGTTTTAAGACATTGGTCTCCAAATCTCATTTATTTTGAAATAATTCCTTCAAAATTTTTACATTTTAAAAAAATCAGAATCCATTGGTTATCCCTTAGTTTAGTGCCTTTAGTTTAAATATACTACTTTAACTAAACAAATCATATTTAGTATTCGAGTTTATTAACGAATATAATTTAATCAGATGTGTATTCAGGGCCGTCTCAAGCATTTTTGAGGCTCTAGGCAGAGAAAAGATATTTGGGGCCTTAATATTAAAAATAATAATTAAATATTAGTTTTTAAAAAAATACATTTTATATAAAATTTAATTTTCTGGATTTTTGAGATGAAAAGTTATTAATTAAATTTTTATATTCAAGGTTTGATAATAAATCCTTTTCAATTGATAAAATTATCAAATTATTTAATCTCTTGAGACATTGTTGAACGTAAATAAGATTTTATTAAGATTGTAAAAGTGGAAAGTTTTCCTATCACTTATCTTGGAGTGTCTTTTAGGCCTGGAAAATTAAAAAAAGATGAATGGTTTCCTTTGATTGAGAAAATAGAGAGGAGATTAGCATTATGGAAAGGTAAATCATTATCAAGAGGTGGTAGACTAGTTTTAGTTAACTCAGTTTTTTCCTCTATGCCAATTTTTTTGGCTATCCTTCTTTTTATTTCCTTCATAGATAATTGATAAAATTAATAAGATGAGAAGAAGATTCTTGTGGATTGAGTCTTTGGATCATAAATGATGCACTAATCTGGTAAAATGGGAGGAGGTTTGTAGACCTAAACACCGTGATGGTTTGGGGATCATAAACTTGAGAATTATGAATAAAGCTTTGTTAGGAAAATGGCTCTGGAAATGGCTTGATGGAAATCTTGATCTTTGGAAACAAATTAGTTTCTATAAATATTTTGAAAGAAAAAGTTAGACAGAGTATTTATACTCTGGGAGAGTACTTTTATCACATTTTTGAAGGAATTTTTTTGTTAATATTGAAAGTTTTTTATGCAGTTCTCAAGTTGAGGTTGGTAAAGGAAATCACACTTTATTTTGTATTGACAAATGGTTAGGCTCATTTACTCTTGCAGCTTTATTTCTATCCTTATTTGCTATCACATCTTTTCCTTTTAGTACTGTTAGTAGTATGAGAAAGAAAGAGAATAATGTGTGGAGATGAGTTGTACAGTTTAGGAGACAGTTAACTGGGTTTTTGTTTCCCAGTATTTTTCTTTGATGAATTTACTTAATTCCTTCTGTTTAGAGCAAAAGGAGGATAAAAGGAAATGGTTATGGGAGGCAAAAGGGAGTTTTATAGTGAAGTCTTTTTATCAATTTCTGATTGATGAAGGCTTAAGGTATGATTGTGCAATTCTATGGAAGCTTCCTATTCCTTTAAAAGTGAAATTCCTTGTCTGGTTGGCTCTAAGACAGGGCTTGAATACAAAGTATGTAGTGGAAAAGAAAGGAATCCATTTGGAAAAGACCTGTTGTTTATGTTCTAAATTGGAGGAGAGTTATACTCATTTATTCATTAAATGTGAGTTTGTTTACTCAATATGGAGATCAATCCAATTCAAATTAAAAACTGAGGGAATTTTTAGTTTGGAATCTTTAAAAGAAGTGTGGCTTAACTGGGAAACTGGTGGTGTTGGTAATTGCAAAATGAAAAGAGATGATTTCATTTGTTTTCTAGTTTGGTGTGTATGGCAAGAACGTAATGATAGGCTCTTTTTTAAATAAAAGGAAGAAGTCTCTTGAGCTTTTGAACAAAATTATGACATTTTCAACCTTTTGGCTAGGTTCTAAAAATGCTTCTCCTCGGGCTACCAGACTACAAGAAAGAAGAAGAAAAAAGAACGTTGATAGATTGCAATCTGTTGGAGATGCTAGAAGAGAAAACAGAGATTTGGCGAATGTGGTGATTCAGCTGGAATGAATTACAATCAGCTCAGTTATGATGATGTTTGTTGTCTGAATTTTAAAACTTTATTCAATTGTGAAACACTTTACTTTTGGGTTTTGATGGTAGTTATCTTGATCATCTCCTTATATATATATATATGAGGAGAATTAATGTAAATTAGTTAAAATAAATAAAAACTGTTATGATAATTCACCATCTAAAGATAAATATATCGAGAAACTGTCTTCATAGGCCCAAAAAGCTATGGCCCAAGCCGGCTTAGCGGCTCTGAGCCCAGCCGAGAACAAATCAATCGACCTACCGAGCGACGAATCATCTTTACAGACACGAAGTGCGGGATCGGTCAACCCCTCATAATCGAGACGACTCCTCAAGAGTCCGCCCGCTTCATAATCAAGACGACTCCTCATGTATTTAGCTCGACCATCTACTCGGCTATCTCCTCGGCTAGAAGCTCACTCAAGTCGGCAAATTATAGGGACGACTCGGAAACTAACCCGTCTCTAATGATGGGATAAAATCTAACTCAGCTCCCTTCAAATATGCATCAATCGACACCACAGTATTAATCTATCCTATCAAGATCTCAACTCTGACAAATCTCAGGCATAAACAGCTTACCCTGCTCACAAGTCACTTCCCAGATATCACTAAGATATCCTCTCCTGTGCTCGAATGACTTCCCTTCCAATCGCCAACCGACATCTGTAAAGCAAAGAATAACTAAACAGTCATCCTCTCTTCCGTCATGCCTCATCTGTCAAAATCTGGGATATGTTGGAGACATCCTCTCCTGTGCGCGAATGACTTCCCCTCCAATCTCCAGTCGGCATCTGTAAAGTGGAGGATGACTAAGCAGCCTATCTACTCACCCCACCACCGCCCTCCTGTGCATGGTCGAAGCTTAGTGTTAGAATATCATGGGCGAAGGACTATAAAAGGGAGTAAAGATGATAAGGTAAGGATATGGCTTCTTCTTCTTCTCTTTTTAATCTTAACTCGGCAAAAAGGCTGAACATTCATTGAATTCAGGGAATCATTCCTTCCCTCTTGACCAACTTTCTTCCTATTAATAACTCACAAAGAGTACCCCCTGACAAGGACCTCAAAGGTCCTGAGATACTTCCTCAAACCCCACTCAAGCTCACCAGCTGACTTGACCGTCGGAGGTACCACGAGGGAAACTGGCCCCGCCCTCTTATGGGTTTGTTCTTCTTCGTACAGGAGAATCAAGAATTTTAGTCTAAGGATCGAGCATAAAGTCAGAGGAGGAGTCGACCGCATCTCTCATTCTCTCACTCTTCATCATCCACAGCAACTCTCATCGACTGTGTGATATCAGACATCAACAAAAACCAACAAGCTTACCTATTATTTTGGGGCCTTCTAGTTTAGACTTACAATTATGTATGTTGAGCATCAAAGATTAAACAAATATGAAAGATGAATGAATGAGAAGAGAATAAAGGAAGTTAGCAAGAGAAAAAAATGCATAAACTATGCATAAATGAGAATGAGTATTTAATATGTGCTTTTCTCTTTTTTTACTGTTACCATCTAATTAATTATAAAAATAATATATAAAAAGTTACAATTAAACTTTATAAGTGTTTTTTTCCAAAGATATAAAGATAATTATAGCAATAAATGATCCATTAAAGATAATTTAGAATCCTAACAATAGTCAACTTCTTATATTTCCAATATATATATATATATATACTACTAATACATATACTATATAGTATAAACCATATAGATACTATATATATAGAGAGAGAGAGAAGAGAGAGAGAGAGAGAGAGATGAGACCGAGACGAGAGAGAGAGAGAGAATACTAGCTTGGTACAAACCACCGAAATTTGTGTGAAATGGGTTCATATTCCCAACTTCCCAACTCATGTTGAATGTGGGCCCTTGATTTTAATGAGTTGGAGGGGAACCTATGCCAACCTCAACTACCAACAGCATAAACACCCACTGCGTTGGTTACCGAAAACATACTCATTTTCTCATATATATAACATAATAGTATATTATATGTATAACTATATGACTATATATATATATATACATACTATATATATATGTATTCTATTCATTTGCTTATCAAATATTTGTTCAAAATTTGATCGCTTCTTATTTGTATTATTATGAATATGATGTTATATTTTCAACCGACTTATATTTTCTACTATTGTTCTATATACTAATTTTGAGAGACTTAAAGAATCTTAAATTAGTTTTCTAATAAAATATTTAAATTAAATATATATACATCATAATTATAATGGAATAATTTTCATTTATAAATTTTAATATTATTTAAAAATTAAATTCTTTAACAGAATGAATATAGATAAATGTAGATATTGTTTGTGAAGCACGTGACTCGTGGGGCCATGCGGGACAGGGGAAATCGCGTGAAAGAGGAACGTGAATGGGTTTTGCTCTCGTGGGGTCCACGCGTGAGGATTTTACGTGAACAATTTGTTTGCTTCCTGATCGTGTTCTGGCCCACCCGATCGAACGATATAAATACCTCATAGGGTTTTGTGAAGCTCGGTGTGCAGGAGTGCAAGTACGAAGAAGGGGGGGATTCTGTTCTTGGCGGCGCAGGCAGAAGTGCAAGCGAAAGTAGGGGAAAAGCGGCTGCGTGTAAGGAGTTTCGGATGTCCTTTTGTGTGTAGTCCTTTTGTGCTTTTGAGAGAGATATTTGTGTGAGAGGTTTGAGAAATTGTGTGAGGGTTTAGATTGAGTGATTGTAAACCCTAGTTGTATTCTCTCCTCTCTAATAGTAGATCTCCCCCCTCATTACCCCGTGGACGTAGGCAGTTTGCCAAACCACGTAAAATTGGTTTGTTTGTGTTTGTGGCTATTGTAATAGTTTTTAGGATTCCTCGATAAGTCAGTCCTAGAACTAATGAGAGGAAGAACCGATATCTCACCTTGTTGAGATATTCGCTTCAGATTCTTGTTTCCTTGGTGAGACGAGAATTCTTATTGATCTTTCTCTCTTATTGTGCACCAGAAACTCTGTCGAAATTTTCGCTGTGCACAAGAAGTGGTATCAGAGCCCAGGTTCCAGATCTAGTGTTTGGTTGGAGAAGTAGATCAATTTGGAGGCTCGTTTAGGTCTTCGCTTGGTGATAAATGTGGGATCTTTTGGTAAAGACTTTATCTTTTCAGTTTTGGATCTATTCTTCGTTCGATTGGTGTGTTGAGAAAGATGTCGGGGAAAGGAGGTGCTTCAGGTGTCGAGGGTAGTGCTTTTGGCGCGAAGACCATTCAGAGTTTGAATATCCACTCTATGAAGATAGATGTGGAGAAATTTAATGGCACAACCATTCAGAGTTTGAATATCCACTCTATGAAGATAGATGTGGAGAAATTTAATGGCACAAACAATTTTAGATTATGGAGATGCGAGGTTTTGAAGATAGATGTGGAGAAATTTAATGGCACAAACAATTTTAGATTATGGAGATGCGAGGTTTTGGATGCGTTGAACGCACAGAATTTGAAGGATACCTTAGAGTTAGATGACAAGCCAGATGACATTGAAGAGAATGTTTGGAAGAAGATGAATCAAACGACGTATGGTGCGATTAGGTCTTGTTTGACTCAAGATCTAAAATATGATGTGATGAATGAGACTTCTGCGAAGAAGATTTAGGAGATTCTCGAAAGCAAGTATTTGACCAAGAGTATGGAAAATCATTTGCATTTGAAGAGGAGGCTTTATCGTTTCCAATTGAAGAATGGAACCTCTATTAGAGATCACATGAACCACTACACGAAGCTTCTTGCGGATTTGGCGAACGTGGATGTTATGATTGAAGATGAGGACAATGCGTTGTTGCTATTGAGTTCCTTGCCCGACGAGGAATATGAGACCTTCGTCCTTACTTTGATTAATGGGAAGACATCTCTTTCGTATAGTGAGGTCACTGTTGTACTGGTGAATTATCAGCTTCGGAAGAAGGATAAGGAAACTTCGATTGAGTCGGTATCAGAGGCGTTGGCCGCAAGAGGGAAGAGTCCAAACCGAAAGAATTAGAAGTCACAGTCTAGAGTAGGACATCCTATAATTAGAAAAGATCAGTATGCTTGGTGCAAGGAGACTGGTCATTGGAAGAAAGACTGTCCAAAGCTCGACGAATAGATGAATAATAAGCAGAAGGGAAAAGGAAAGCAACCATCATCAGAAGCAAACATCGTATCGAATGGTAATATTTCTGATTCTTCTATTTATTCACTTTCTATCAGTCCTACATGGAGCTATTCATAGGAATCAGAGTGGATGTTGGATAGTGGTACGACCTATCATGTGTGTCCTAGAAGGGAATGGTTCTCCAGTTTTGAGAAGCTAGATAGTGGTGTGGTGTACATGGCTGATAACCGTGTATGCTAGATCCTTGGGATAGGAAGAATTCGCATCAAAATGTTTGACGGGACTGTTAGGGAGTTAAAAGATGTGAGATATATTCCTTCTTTGAGGAAGAACTTGATCTCAATTGGAGCTTTGGTTAGAGAGTGTCTGAATGTTCGAATTGAGGACATGGTTCTTAAGATTGTGTAAGACTCTCGGATTGTGATGAAGGGCGTCAGGAGGAATAACCTGTATTACTTGACTGGAGGTATAGTGACATGTAGAGAACTGGCGACTTCTATTGATTCGACTAGACTGCGGCATTTGGGGCTTGGCCATTCCAGTATTGATTCCTCGCATAGAGTCAAAGAGGGTGTGAAGACCTGCAGTTTGAAGTCCAGTGAACATGTTGATGTGAGCAAGAAGACCGAGGTGAAGTTTGGCACCTCTATTCACCGAGCTAAGGGTCGTTTCGGAGGTGTTCACGTGGATGTTTGGGGGCCTTCCAAGGGGGCATCATTGGGAGGTAATAGAAGTTTGGTTTCCTTTATTGGTGGCTGTTCTAGGCATGTTTGGGTTGCAACCAAATCCCC